CTTCAACTCCCAGAATTCCCCAGCCAGCCATGCTGGCTGGGGAATTCTGGGAGTTGAAGTCCACCCATCTTAAAGTTGCCGAGTTCGAGAAATCCTGCTATAGCCTTAGATGTCCTGGTGCTCTCCCATCCTAGGACTAACCAGGTCCTAGGTTACCAACCATAGAGCCAAGCCCAGTTAAAATGAATCTATTTCTAAACCATAGTTAGAGTTGAACATACGGTGTGAACATGGCCAGTCATGCATTGTTCAAGAAATCACAGTTAAAATAAGCAGTGGTTTGATGTGACTTGTGAAACCAACAGTAAATCAGAGCCTTGCATTCTCACAGGGGCAACATCTCTCCTAAATCCCCCCCCCCATTGCTCAATCTTTGGATAAAAATTGCCAGTCCTGTGGGGTTCAGCGGACAGACTGTGTTTTCGTATATCACATTGAAAAAAAAAGTTGCCAGCCACACTCCAGCCAAGCATGTTCTGCAAAGATGTTCCAGGGGACAAGTTTATAGTCCAGCATTTCTAATTTCAGAAAACTTGCTGGGAAACTTTGCTTCTGGGGATGTCCTTAGATCCTTCTTCGGGCCAAAGTTGCTTCAGAGTCAACAGAAGATGCCAAATCTTTCACAGACGTTTAATTGTCCTTCCTCGTCTAGCCCACAGCTTGGCTATTTCCCAATGGTGTCCTTTCCCATTGTTAATCAGGTCCAACCTGACTTAGCTTTTAGAGGTCAGCCTGGGTCATCGTAAAGCGACTGCTTTCATGGGCATCCTACCTGTAGACAATCGCTATGCAGACTACGTGCTCATTCCCCCAAAGAAGCGCCTTTGCATTGGAGCGTTGTAGTTTTGGGAGCAACTGTGCGTTGGGTGGTTGAGTTGGGATTCTGAATGCTCCATGTTCCTTTCAGTCCAGTGCTCCTTGTAGCCAAAAGCTGCATATAACAGACAGGCAGGAGGGGTTCGATTCCCAGGGGGATGAGAAACTCTTTTCTACCTTTTTTTTTTTTAATCAAACAAAACACAGAGCAGATCATTTTCCCCCATCTTCTCTTCTGCCCCCCATTTGCAGCACAAGGATAAGAAGAAAGGTTCTCATTAGTTTTGATTGTAAACAGTTGCTCCAGCGGTACATTTGCAGAAGGCATTAATCATCCACGACGATAGCTTAAATTATATAAGCAAATGGATCCAATGCTAGCGTTCCCCTTATAATTTATATAGAACTTATATTTTCGGTGAAGTTTGGGGGGGGGATTTATGGATTGTCCCTATGGGGTTTATTTAATCTGGATCTTATTTGCTGAGTAACACAACTCACCAGCACAGAATTTTGTGTTGCATAGTGTACAAATTCAGCCCCTGAGTTGGTTGGTAAACCGGGGATTAGGGCTGAAATCCGTTATTTATTTATTGCATTTATAACGCATTTCTCCAAGACCTCAACATGCCAGTCTTTTCTAATCTTATCCGCACGCTACTACCATGTCAGGCTGTGCTGACGGTGGATGGCAAGGTTGAGTGGAGACCTGAACCTGGGTTTCTCCCATCCAAGTCCATTACCTTAGCCACTATACGGACTCTGATGTTATGGAAACCTAACCCAAGTTGGTTTGTTCAATAAACCATGATTAAACTGCAGCTTGGAAGAATGAGGAAATGGAATCATTAAGTGCCCTTGATTTCTGTAAGCCAGTGTTTCTCAACCTTGCCGAGTTTAAGACGGCTGGCTGGGGAATTCTGGGAGTGGAAGTCCATCCATTTTTAAACTCAGCAAGGTTGAGAAACACTATGTAAGCCATATTGTCTACTTTGGTTGGACAATGCTGTGCACGAGTTGCTCAAATCTCCTTAGACCAGAAATGAGGTTGCTTCTTGATAGTTGGGAATGGTATTTAACATGGGATCCAATAGACAAGGGCCCTCTTTTGCCTGTTGTGGGCCAAAATTTTAATTCATTTCCATTTTTGTAAACTAGAATAAGCCGGTGTCAGGGCTTGACAGTACAGGTGTGTTTTTCTTGCCTCCAAAGGATGGGAAGCCATGCTGCAAATGTTCAGCAAGTGCAGCTTCAAGAGGCTGGTGGCTGACACCTGCAGGGGCGGGGCTTGGCATCCTGATGTCATTGGGTGGGTGGGGCTTAAATGCTTGGATCTCTTTTCCTGGGTTAAAGGGGCAAAACCACCTTAAGCCTTTGCCTTCAGGGTTGCAAAGAGAACGCAATCCCCCAAATCAGAATTTGGGGAGATTTGGAATTCCGGGTTGAAGGATTAAGCCCCCCAGTGAACATTAAGGTCCCCAAATGTTTCTCTCATTCAGGTCAGGCTCTTTCTGGTTGCAAATGAGGGTGGGTTTTCCCACCTCTCTGGTATGAGAAAGTTTATTAGAATATAGGAAATGAATCCATATCCACAAAGAGTATTTATGTGGCTTAAGAATAGCATTTAGTGAGAATCCACCAACACCAACACCCACTCATGGCCGTATATGACTAGCTTCTCCAGAGCTTTCACAGCCAATTCCAAACCCGCTGGTTTTCTGCTGAAAACGTTTTATCAGTAGAGGTAGCAAGCAGCAGTCTTGGGTCTCCCTGATCCTAGTCTGGCCCCTTCCCCATACATCATATACTCTTGAGTTGAGAGGAAGGGACTGCTCTTGAGCTGAGAGGAAGGGACTGCTCAAAGTCCCCCAGGGAGCTTCTGTGGCTGAGGAGGGACTAGAACATGGTTCTCTGTGTTCCTAGTCCAGCTGCTTCCCCGCTACACCACGCTGGCTCTTGAGCTGAAAGAGAAAGTGGCCCAAAGTCTCCCAGAGACCCTCTGTGGCTGAGAGTGAATGAAAAGGTGGGTCTTCCTGCCCAAAGTCCAACGCCTTCCCCACTACACCTCACTAGCTCACCTACCTACCCTCCCTGAGTGTTTATACAGTCAGTGGAGTAAAGAGATGGATCACTGCTGTGGCTTTCTTGTGCAATCTCTGTCCTTGCATGGAATGAGTCCCCAAATGGCAAGCAAGTAGGGAGAAGTGACCATGACAGGAGCTACAGGGGGCCCATTCAGAGTTGCAAGGTGATGGGAAGACTTTGCTCCAGGAGACACTTCAAAGTCTGGAGCTCTTTCCATCATGCCCTCCTGATTTTGCTGATCTCCTTAGTCCTTCAATCCCACTTTTTAAAGCAGACGCTTAGCCTGGATTTTAGCTGATCTCAAAGGAAAGTGAATAGGAACCCAAAAGAGCAAAACAGTTACAACAACAGACCCAGGAATTAAAAAATATGTTTCTCCAAAAAAGGGAGGGGAGAGAACACATGTTGCATATTAAAAATTAATTATGGTTCTTTATTGAAAGATGGAAACTCCAAATTAAAAAAAGGAACCAAGGGGTTATGCACAGTCACAGCTGTGTGTCCTGAAAATGTGGGTTTTCACATTTTTGACCTCAAGCTACCCTTCCTTTTGAGGGGATTGGAATGAAGAGATGCCTCTGAAATTCCAAAATAAGGCAGCTGCTGTTGTGTCACTCTTTAAAAATATATTTGCTCAAATCATTAGCTTTCTGTTTGCTTCCTCATGTCCATACCTAGACCATCTTTCTTGAAATTGATAATACTTGGGAAGAGGCTAAGATACAACACAAACAAGAAAGGCTTATGTGTCAGAAGCTTAGATATGCTTGTTTGGTTTTTTAAATGAAATTTCTGCCTTTGAAATTATGATGAAATTCCAACCATGGTTTAGATTTTGGGTGAGTTCATCCACCATGCTAAGCCATAATAGAGTTTCTTTTAGTTCGATTTAGTGCTTTGAATGAATCAAGCTATGGTAATTTTACATCAAGCCATGGTAATTTGATACCAGGGGTTATGTCTTGGCGTGAAGTATGAATGTAGCAAATATGGTTTATTTTTCTAAAAAATATGGCTACTCTGAATATTTAAACTGAATAGAGGACTCAGAGCAGCCATGGGTTGTCTGAACAAAGGTTTGTTGAACAACCCAGAGTCAGTTTTCCAGAGGAGGCAAGTAGTTACAGCTTTTCTAGAAAAATCCTGACTGTTCTCTCTCCTGCTCTCTCTCCTTTTTACAAAAATAATTCTGAGGCTTGGGTGATGTTCAACACAACCCAGGAAGACCCAAACAAACCACATCTCTGTGTTTGCACATTGTTCTAAGCCACCATTGCAGTCAGCTCAGCCAACCAAGCCTATGTCCTAAATTGGGACTTACTGTCCTTGTTCACCAAGCAAAATCAAAAACAAAGAACATATTATGGCCAGCAACATCTGCAGATCTTGCTGCTTTGGTCTGTGACATTGCAACATACTTAGAGCAGGGGTGGTCCTTGCATTGCGATGCCTCAAGGCTGCTCAGTCTGAGACCTCTGCCAGATACTGTAATTATGGCTTAGCCACTAGGGAGTTTTACTTCCATAATGTCCATGTCTCCCTGGGAAATCTGGGCTCCACACCTAGTCTGATTAAAATATATAGATCTTTTTACATTGGCCACACCATTTGGTAGCATGGAGCAAACCCTTCAGGTAGCACAGTAGATGACCCATGGAACTGACCCAGCATGCTGGCTGGGAAATTCTGGGAGTTGAAGTTCACACATCTTAAAGTTGCCAGGTTTGAAAAACACTGAGCTAGCAGACACTTGGGTAGATCCATGGAGGCCATTTGACCATCCCTGCGCCCTAGTCTCTGTGGGTCCAGTTGAAGATGCTGGCCAAATTACTAAAGTTGTCAGACCCAGCCCAAGAACAACAGTGAAACAATCCAGCTGAGTTCAACTGCTTTATTTGCTTACACCCTATAGACAGAATCTTGCCAGACTAAATCTATGCTACCACAACAAGTGGATGTACCCTGGGAGATTCTAGGGAGCGGCTATTCTGAACCTCTTATGCTTCCCATGCTCCTGCTCCAGACTGTGTTGTCTTTGTCTCCTTTCCCTTCCTGGAATGTACCCCCTCCTTC